ATCTCAACATAAAATTATATATTCTATGCTTTATGTAAAGCACAATAACAAGCGTGAAACGTCAATCAAACGTTAATAAAGAATTATTATAATTATAATTAATATTTGTCTCTAGTTTAATGCTTTATTTTATAAATTATGGAAGAAATAAAAGTGACAAATATATGCAGGGCATGTATGTGTACAGATGGAGCAATGAAACCGATGTTTATATCTGAAAATCTAACACCAGCCTTAGCTAATATGCTTATGTCTTGTACAAATATCCCAATTTCTGAATTAGATGGGTTGCCTGGACAAATTTGCGAAGGATGTGAAATTTCATTACACTCAGCTTTTTTGTTTAAACAACAATGTGAAAGATCTGATGTAGAATTGAGGTAAACACAAAATGACTTTTGTTTATATATTGTAGCATTTGAATTGTATAATTATATTTATAATTTTTTCATAATTGGGTAATTAATATTACCAATTACCATTGTTGTTTCTATCGATATAAATAGTCATGCTTATCAAAATTTATATATATTTCTAAAACTGAGATGTCTCAATTTAAATAATTGAATATTCTATAGCTCTTGATTTATTTTGTGTGTTATTCTTTATCAGAAAAGTGTTTGGAAATACGGAGAATGTTTTAGAAGATAAACAAATCAAGGATGAGCCTATCACAGAACCTATTGATTTCGATTTACTAAAACCTAAAATCGAAATTGAAATGGATGCTGAAGAATTCTTAGAAGGTGTGGAAGCCACCGATGATTTGGAAGAAACAGAACTGGAAATTCCCCATAGGCGCAGGGGCAGAAAAAAATTAACCAATGATTTTTCTTGCGATATCTGTGGAAAAATCTTTGATAAGCTTTATCGTTTGCAAAGGCATTTAAATGTTCATAATTCAGAAGGAAAACCTTTTGAGTGCACAATATGTTATCAACGTTTTGTTAGAGAAGATTTATTGATAAGACATAGAATAAAACATTCAGAATTAATGTCTAAAAATTTCAATTCTGAAGATATAAAAGAAATATATAAGTGCTCAGAGTGTGATAGAGTATTCAGGAAGCAGGTAAATGATTTATATAGTAATAATAATTATGCAAATTGGTAATTAAAGAATTTTATGGAATAATAGATGTTAATTTTACTTATTAGTAACATTTTGGCATTTTGTTTTTTAGGAGTCTCTTTCAGCACACATGCAAAAGCACAAAAATGAAGAACCTCAGAGTTATGAATGTACCGAGTGCGAAAGAACTTTTACTAAAGCAAGCCATTTATCACGGCATATGAAAATACATGGCAATGTTAAGCCTCATAAATGTCAGTTGTGCCCAAAATCATTTGCTCTTGGTGGTCACTAATAGATCATATGAATAAACATAATGGTATTAAGCCACATGTTTGCCCAGAGTGTGGAAAAGGTTGAAAAAGCAAATACTTATTATAAAACTTTTTTATGGCATTATTGAAAATTTTTTGTTTGTTACAGGTTTTCAGCAATCTTGTACTTTAAAAGATCATTTACGAACGCACAGTGGGGAGGCGCCATTCCTATGCTCTGAATGCGGTAAAGCTTTTAATAACAGCAGTAACTTACGACAACATTTAGTTCGACATTCAGGTTTAAAGCCTTTTGCATGTTCACAGTGTCCATCACGATTTGCAAGCAAAGGTAATGTCATAAAATATGAAATTTGTGTTATATGAAATATAATTCTTCAATTTATGTAATTAGGGGGCTTAACATCACACGAAGTTACACATACAGGTGCTAAACCTTATATTTGTGATACATGCGGCTCAGGTTTTACAAAACCCTATAGTCTTGTTAAGCATAAACGTATTCATACAGGAGAGAAACCTTATGCATGTGAAGTATGTTCGATGAGGTAAGTCTACATTGATATATGAAATTCAAACATGATGCTCTTTTTAATAATCATTTAAAATTATTTAAATGAAAAGTATAGAAAATATATTCAAATAAAATTCATTTAATTGTCTATATTTCTAAAGTATAGTAAAAGGTCTTGTAACTCTTCAACACAATGGAAGGCTTCTAATTGAAGCAGATTAAGAAATTCTTCATCAATTTCCTCACTGTCTTCATCCACATTTGAATTCTCCAATTCATCTGATTTCTTTTCCAGGCTGGAAACAGCATCTTGAGCTATAATAAACAAATATGTTGTGAGTAAATTACGCTTATTACAATTAAGTATCAATCAATTCTCCACATACTACTTCCTGCTGTTTGATTTATGGGTTGTAATGTTGTACATTTTTCAATTTTTAATTGATTTTGAGATGTTGCAGTAAAATTAAAAGCATGATCATCTGTTTTTGAGCACAAAGTTTGTGTTGTTAAGCTCTGTTTTGATTCTATTGGAGGTTTCGAACCTATTGTTTTATCCATTACTAAATTTGCCTTTACAGATAATGAAAGTGCTAATTTTTCCTTATGCTCCTGATTCAAAGTATTAATAGACTTAGCCTAAAAAAATATAAATTTATTTAAAAATATAAATAATGTAGCAATCTGTATACTATCATGAATAGTTATCTTACTGGTGTGGATGTAATTGCAGGATTATTAATCATAAACGAAAAATCTTCACTGGAATGCACAGTCATATTTGGTTTTAGCTCTTGGTTGGGAACTGAGCTTGTAAACAAATTCTCATTTTTGGAAGGAGAAGTAACTGCAGTAGCTTGTGTTGCTGTTTGAGTGTTTGCGTTTGGTGTTTCTGTAGAGCTTTATGAAATAAAAGAAGAAAAATCAATGTAAATATTATGACAAATTGCTACTAATTTTACCTTTCAATGATGAATGAAGATAGACCACTGCCATCTTTTATAGGTTCAGGAGGAGAGCATATACAGGGTGCATCATTTTTTAAATTCAAGGCGTCAAAACTGATTAGGAAACCATGATCCGTAAGTAAATGTAACATTGGCATTGGTTGTAAAGTTTTATTATTACCTAAAAATGGGCTGTAATTATTATATACTTAAGAGATTTTCTGAGATAGTATCTAATCACCGATAGTAATTTGTTTAGTGCTTCCAGTATCAAGAGCATAACCGCACATGAAGGATTCATATCTTCCAACTAATGGAAGTTCTGCTCTAGCATCATCCGCCTAATAATGTAAAATATTTAAATATTGAATAATCAACAAAATATTTAAATATATGATTATCATTTTTACCAAAAACCATTGTTCCCAATTACAAACATCTTGCGCAATAATACCCGCTAATAAACCAACTTCAATACTATTCACAGAAAGTACAAACAAAAGTGACCTGAAAATTTCATGATTTATCAATGATGTGTTTATATTGAAATGCATAATTATTGTGGAACCTTACCATGATTGCTGATGTATAAAATAAATTGATTTTGGAGTGCAATTTCTTGAGCTATAACAAACTTCATCATAATTTATACTATAAATCTGTCCAGATTTTGAAGCATTTATTATAACTACATCTGTAAACAAAGTGCACAAATTTAAAAAATGATGTAATATTTCCACGGGTCAAGTTACGACATGAATGTAACGTGAGCAACAATTTTATGTGAGTATATATTCTACTCACTAGGTGGATTTTTAGGATCTGAAGAATCAAGAAATGTAGCTGCAAACTGATCATTGCTCAGCCATTGAACAGAAATTATGGAGCCTTTCATATCGGATACACTGATAGTTTTTACAGGCTTCAAATCTGGTTTGAATTGGCATAATGTGCCAGATTTTGTCCCAATGACAATTTGTTTTCCCTTCGGGCTCCATGATAATGATCTTGAATTAATAAGTAAAAATTAATATTAACTATAATTTCATATATGTATGAATGAAGTATTCTTCTTACAAAGCTTGCACATCATTTTCTGTTGAATTTATTTTCGGGCCATTACCAAATTCACAGGACCACAATGTGCCATTTTCTAAAGTAGCAGCTACTACATTTGCTATACAGGGATTCCATGACATTTGTAACAAAGGGCTGGGTAGCCTTACTTCGCTAACTAACACTATCGTCTGTAAAATTTTAGATTAATATTGCATTACAGCTTCCATTCACTGTAGGAAGTTAATGTGCAGGAAGACATCAATACCTGTTTATAATATGAAGTAACATCATAAAATTGTAATATAAAGTTTCCATTAGAAGTTAACACTATGGACAAAACTGTATGATCACAATTCACAGCAAGATAAGTTACATGCCCAGGGAGTTCTTGTTTTCGAACAGCAACATTTTTATCTTTAGGTGAGTTTTGTACCAAAGCTGATAGCTGTACAACTGCATTAAATAATAAATCAATATTTTAATAACAAAAATTATAAGTTTAGTGCTTAATTTTAAATTGTTTTGTACCTTTAACAATATTTTGACAAGCAGTGAAAATTAATCCAAACCGACTCGCAGCACATAAAAGGGAAGTGTTATTACACGGCGTTTCACATTTTTCAAATATTTTAACTTTACTGTGCAATATAAATTTGAAATCCTGTAAAATTAATGAATTTAATATATAAACAATGAACTATTTCAAACAAATGATAATTATCAATACCTGAACTTCTTTAGGGTTTGGCGCATTTACCGACATTTTTTCAACTAATTCTATTTAATATTGTGCCAATAATAAAATATAATTATTACCCTTAATAAGTAGCATTTATACCATTTCAAAAAGATTTAAAAAATCGCACTTGACGGTAATTTGTAAATTTAAACATAACCTAGGATTAAGCACAGAATGTCTGCTTTCTTAAAAACTAGAGACTAGACTCGAAGTCTTGCCTTGTTCACAGCCAATTCAATATTTTGACTATTTTATAATTTTAATTTCATTTAAATTAATCTTCTATCCGTATTCTATATATTCTTATGTCTTATCGTTCATTCAAAAAGATTTTATCACTAGCTATCGAATTTTTAATATTAAATGAATGAACTAATATTATTCAAGGTATCCAATCTCAACATAAAAATTATATATTCTATGCTTTATGTAAAGCACAATAACAAGCGTGAAACGTCAATCAAACGTTAATAAAGAATTATTATAATTATAATTAATATTTGTCTCTAGTTTAATGCTTTATTTTATAAATTATGGAAGAAATAAAAGTGACAAATATATGCAGGGCATGTATGTGTACAGATGGAGCAATGAAACCGATGTTTATATCTGAAAATCTAACACCAGCCTTAGCTAATATGCTTATGTCTTGTACAAATATCCCAATTTCTGAATTAGATGGGTTGCCTGGACAAATTTGCGAAGGATGTGAAATTTCATTACACTCAGCTTTTTTGTTTAAACAACAATGTGAAAGATCTGATGTAGAATTGAGGTAAACACAAAATGACTTTTGTTTATATATTGTAGCATTTGAATTGTATAATTATATTTATAATTTTTTCATAATTGGGTAATTAATATTACCAATTACCATTGTTGTTTCTATCGATATAAATAGTCATGCTTATCAAAATTTATATATATTTCTAAAACTGAGATGTCTCAATTTAAATAATTGAATATTCTATAGCTCTTGATTTATTTTGTGTGTTATTCTTTATCAGAAAAGTGTTTGGAAATACGGAGAATGTTTTAGAAGATAAACAAATCAAGGATGAGCCTATCACAGAACCTATTGATTTCGATTTACTAAAACCTAAAATCGAAATTGAAATGGATGCTGAAGAATTCTTAGAAGGTGTGGAAGCCACCGATGATTTGGAAGAAACAGAACTGGAAATTCCCCATAGGCGCAGGGGCAGAAAAAAATTAACCAATGATTTTTCTTGCGATATCTGTGGAAAAATCTTTGATAAGCTTTATCGTTTGCAAAGGCATTTAAATGTTCATAATTCAGAAGGAAAACCTTTTGAGTGCACAATATGTTATCAACGTTTTGTTAGAGAAGATTTATTGATAAGACATAGAATAAAACATTCAGAATTAATGTCTAAAAATTTCAATTCTGAAGATATAAAAGAAATATATAAGTGCTCAGAGTGTGATAGAGTATTCAGGAAGCAGGTAAATGATTTATATAGTAATAATAATTATGCAAATTGGTAATTAAAGAATTTTATGGAATAATAGATGTTAATTTTACTTATTAGTAACATTTTGGCATTTTGTTTTTTAGGAGTCTCTTTCAGCACACATGCAAAAGCACAAAAATGAAGAACCTCAGAGTTATGAATGTACCGAGTGCGAAAGAACTTTTACTAAAGCAAGCCATTTATCACGGCATATGAAAATACATGGCAATGTTAAGCCTCATAAATGTCAGTTGTGCCCAAAATCATTTGCTCTTGGTGGTCAACTAATAGATCATATGAATAAACATAATGGTATTAAGCCACATGTTTGCCCAGAGTGTGGAAAAGGTTGAAAAAGCAAATACTTATTATAAAACTTTTTTATGGCATTATTGAAAATTTTTTGTTTGTTACAGGTTTTCAGCAATCTTGTACTTTAAAAGATCATTTACGAACGCACAGTGGGGAGGCGCCATTCCTATGCTCTGAATGCGGTAAAGCTTTTAATAACAGCAGTAACTTACGACAACATTTAGTTCGACATTCAGGTTTAAAGCCTTTTGCATGTTCACAGTGTCCATCACGATTTGCAAGCAAAGGTAATGTCATAAAATATGAAATTTGTGTTATATGAAATATAATTCTTCAATTTATGTAATTAGGGGGCTTAACATCACACGAAGTTACACATACAGGTGCTAAACCTTATATTTGTGATACATGCGGCTCAGGTTTTACAAAACCCTATAGTCTTGTTAAGCATAAACGTATTCATACAGGAGAGAAACCTTATGCATGTGAAGTATGTTCGATGAGGTAAGTCTACATTGATATATGAAATTCAAACATGATGCTCTTTTTAATAATCATTTAAAATTATTTAAATGAAAAGTATAGAAAATATATTCAAATAAAATTCATTTAATTGTCTATATTTCTAAAGTATAGTAAAAGGTCTTGTAACTCTTCAACACAATGGAAGGCTTCTAATTGAAGCAGATTAAGAAATTCTTCATCAATTTCCTCACTGTCTTCATCCACATTTGAATTCTCCAATTCATCTGATTTCTTTTCCAGGCTGGAAACAGCATCTTGAGCTATAATAAACAAATATGTTGTGAGTAAATTACGCTTATTACAATTAAGTATCAATCAATTCTCCACATACTACTTCCTGCTGTTTGATTTATGGGTTGTAATGTTGTACATTTTTCAATTTTTAATTGATTTTGAGATGTTGCAGTAAAATTAAAAGCATGATCATCTGTTTTTGAGCACAAAGTTTGTGTTGTTAAGCTCTGTTTTGATTCTATTGGAGGTTTCGAACCTATTGTTTTATCCATTACTAAATTTGCCTTTACAGATAATGAAAGTGCTAATTTTTCCTTATGCTCCTGATTCAAAGTATTAATAGACTTAGCCTAAAAAAATATAAATTTATTTAAAAATATAAATAATGTAGCAATCTGTATACTATCATGAATAGTTATCTTACTGGTGTGGATGTAATTGCAGGATTATTAATCATAAACGAAAAATCTTCACTGGAATGCACAGTCATATTTGGTTTTAGCTCTTGGTTGGGAACTGAGCTTGTAAACAAATTCTCATTTTTGGAAGGAGAAGTAACTGCAGTAGCTTGTGTTGCTGTTTGAGTGTTTGCGTTTGGTGTTTCTGTAGAGCTTTATGAAATAAAAGAAGAAAAATCAATGTAAATATTATGACAAATTGCTACTAATTTTACCTTTCAATGATGAATGAAGATAGACCACTGCCATCTTTTATAGGTTCAGGAGGAGAGCATATACAGGGTGCATCATTTTTTAAATTCAAGGCGTCAAAACTGATTAGGAAACCATGATCCGTAAGTAAATGTAACATTGGCATTGGTTGTAAAGTTTTATTATTACCTAAAAATGGGCTGTAATTATTATATACTTAAGAGATTTTCTGAGATAGTATCTAATCACCGATAGTAATTTGTTTAGTGCTTCCAGTATCAAGAGCATAACCGCACATGAAGGATTCATATCTTCCAACTAATGGAAGTTCTGCTCTAGCATCATCCGCCTAATAATGTAAAATATTTAAATATTGAATAATCAACAAAATATTTAAATATATGATTATCATTTTTACCAAAAACCATTGTTCCCAATTACAAACATCTTGCGCAATAATACCCGCTAATAAACCAACTTCAATACTATTCACAGAAAGTACAAACAAAAGTGACCTGAAAATTTCATGATTTATCAATGATGTGTTTATATTGAAATGCATAATTATTGTGGAACCTTACCATGATTGCTGATGTATAAAATAAATTGATTTTGGAGTGCAATTTCTTGAGCTATAACAAACTTCATCATAATTTATACTATAAATCTGTCCAGATTTTGAAGCATTTATTATAACTACATCTGTAAACAAAGTGCACAAATTTAAAAAATGATGTAATATTTCCACGGGTCAAGTTACGACATGAATGTAACGTGAGCAACAATTTTATGTGAGTATATATTCTACTCACTAGGTGGATTTTTAGGATCTGAAGAATCAAGAAATGTAGCTGCAAACTGATCATTGCTCAGCCATTGAACAGAAATTATGGAGCCTTTCATATCGGATACACTGATAGTTTTTACAGGCTTCAAATCTGGTTTGAATTGGCATAATGTGCCAGATTTTGTCCCAATGACAATTTGTTTTCCCTTCGGGCTCCATGATAATGATCTTGAATTAATAAGTAAAAATTAATATTAACTATAATTTCATATATGTATGAATGAAGTATTCTTCTTACAAAGCTTGCACATCATTTTCTGTTGAATTTATTTTCGGGCCATTACCAAATTCACAGGACCACAATGTGCCATTTTCTAAAGTAGCAGCTACTACATTTGCTATACAGGGATTCCATGACATTTGTAACAAAGGGCTGGGTAGCCTTACTTCGCTAACTAACACTATCGTCTGTAAAATTTTAGATTAATATTGCATTACAGCTTCCATTCACTGTAGGAAGTTAATGTGCAGGAAGACATCAATACCTGTTTATAATATGAAGTAACATCATAAAATTGTAATATAAAGTTTCCATTAGAAGTTAACACTATGGACAAAACTGTATGATCACAATTCACAGCAAGATAAGTTACATGCCCAGGGAGTTCTTGTTTTCGAACAGCAACATTTTTATCTTTAGGTGAGTTTTGTACCAAAGCTGATAGCTGTACAACTGCATTAAATAATAAATCAATATTTTAATAACAAAAATTATAAGTTTAGTGCTTAATTTTAAATTGTTTTGTACCTTTAACAATATTTTGACAAGCAGTGAAAATTAATCCAAACCGACTCGCAGCACATAAAAGGGAAGTGTTATTACACGGCGTTTCACATTTTTCAAATATTTTAACTTTACTGTGCAATATAAATTTGAAATCCTGTAAAATTAATGAATTTAATATATAAACAATGAACTATTTCAAACAAATGATAATTATCAATACCTGAACTTCTTTAGGGTTTGGCGCATTTACCGACATTTTTTCAACTAATTCTATTTAATATTGTGCCAATAATAAAATATAATTATTACCCTTAATAAGTAGCATTTATACCATTTCAAAAAGATTTAAAAAATCGCACTTGACGGTAATTTGTAAATTTAAACATAACCTAGGATTAAGCACAGAATGTCTGCTTTCTTAAAAACTAGAGACTAGACTCGAAGTCTTGCCTTGTTCACAGCCAATTCAATATTTTGACTATTTTATAATTTTAATTTCATTTAAATTAATCTTCTATCCGTATTCTATATATTCTTATGTCTTATCGTTCATTCAAAAAGATTTTATCACTAGCTATCGAATTTTTAATATTAAATGAATGAACTAATATTATTCAAGGTATCCAATCTCAACATAAAAATTATATATTCTATGCTTTATGTAAAGCACAATAACAAGCGTGAAACGTCAATCAAACGTTAATAAAGAATTATTATAATTATAATTAATATTTGTCTCTAGTTTAATGCTTTATTTTATAAATTATGGAAGAAATAAAAGTGACAAATATATGCAGGGCATGTATGTGTACAGATGGAGCAATGAAACCGATGTTTATATCTGAAAATCTAACACCAGCCTTAGCTAATATGCTTATGTCTTGTACAAATATCCCAATTTCTGAATTAGATGGGTTGCCTGGACAAATTTGCGAAGGATGTGAAATTTCATTACACTCAGCTTTTTTGTTTAAACAACAATGTGAAAGATCTGATGTAGAATTGAGGTAAACACAAAATGACTTTTGTTTATATATTGTAGCATTTGAATTGTATAATTATATTTATAATTTTTTCATAATTGGGTAATTAATATTACCAATTACCATTGTTGTTTCTATCGATATAAATAGTCATGCTTATCAAAATTTATATATATTTCTAAAACTGAGATGTCTCAATTTAAATAATTGAATATTCTATAGCTCTTGATTTATTTTGTGTGTTATTCTTTATCAGAAAAGTGTTTGGAAATACGGAGAATGTTTTAGAAGATAAACAAATCAAGGATGAGCCTATCACAGAACCTATTGATTTCGATTTACTAAAACCTAAAATCGAAATTGAAATGGATGCTGAAGAATTCTTAGAAGGTGTGGAAGCCACCGATGATTTGGAAGAAACAGAACTGGAAATTCCCCATAGGCGCAGGGGCAGAAAAAAATTAACCAATGATTTTTCTTGCGATATCTGTGGAAAAATCTTTGATAAGCTTTATCGTTTGCAAAGGCATTTAAATGTTCATAATTCAGAAGGAAAACCTTTTGAGTGCACAATATGTTATCAACGTTTTGTTAGAGAAGATTTATTGATAAGACATAGAATAAAACATTCAGAATTAATGTCTAAAAATTTCAATTCTGAAGATATAAAAGAAATATATAAGTGCTCAGAGTGTGATAGAGTATTCAGGAAGCAGGTAAATGATTTATATAGTAATAATAATTATGCAAATTGGTAATTAAAGAATTACCAATTCTATTATGGAATAATAGATATTAGTTTTACTTATTAGTAACATTTTGGCATTTTGTTTTTTAGGAGTCTCTTTCAGCACACATGCAAAAGCACAAAAATGAAGAACCTCAGAGTTATGAATGTACCGAGTGCGAAAGAACTTTTACTAAAGCAAGCCATTTATCACGGCATATGAAAATACATGGCAATGTTAAGCCTCATAAATGTCAGTTGTGCCCAAAATCATTTGCTCTTGGTGGTCAACTAATAGATCATATGAATAAACATAATGGTATTAAGCCACATGTTTGCCCAGAGTGTGGAAAAGGTTGAAAAAGCAAATACTTATTATAAAACTTTTTTATGGCATTATTGAAAAATTTTTGTTTGTTACAGGTTTTCAGCAATCTTGTACTTTAAAAGATCATTTACGAACGCACAGTGGGGAGGCGCCATTCCTATGCTCTGAATGCGGTAAAGCTTTTAATAACAGCAGTAACTTACGACAACATTTAGTTCGACATTCAGGCTTAAAGCCTTTTGCATGTTCACAGTGTCCATCACGATTTGCAAGCAAAGGTAATGTCATAAAATATGAAATTTGTGTTATATGAAATATAATTCTTCAATTTATGTAATTAGGGGGCTTAACATCACACGAAGTTACACATACAGGTGCTAAACCTTATATTTGTGATACATGCGGCTCAGGTTTTACAAAACCCTATAGTCTTGTTAAGCATAAACGTATTCATACAGGAGAGAAACCTTATGCATGTGAAGTATGTTCGATGAGGTAAGTCTGCATTGATATATGAAATTCAAACATGATGCTCTTTTTAATAATCATTTAAAATTATTTAAATGAAAAGTATAGAAAATATATTCAAATAAAATTCATTTAATTGCCTGTAATAAGAAAACCTCATTTCTCAATAATAATGTAATAACTATTAAAATATTTTGATTTGATTTTATTGTGTAAAATAATTTTGAATAGAAAAATATATTACATAATAGAATTATGCTCTGAAAAAAAGTTAAATTAATTACATAATTACAGGTTTAATTCTTCTGATCACGTCAAACGTCATATGCGTACTCATACAGGTGAAAAGCCATATAAATGCAAATATTGTGACCGTGCATTTAGTCAAAGTAATGATTTGGTGAAACACACTCGGAGTCATGTTGGGGATAACACATACAAGTGTCCAGACTGCCCAGAGAGTTTCAGGCTTCTTGGGGAGCTTAGAGCTCATAGTAAAGTGCATTTTGTGCCTCCATCTGATGCCCATCCTTCCACTATTAAAACCCAACCTAAAGAAGAAATTGAGAATTTTACAGAGGCTATTGTTCAACATTTACAAGAGCAGCAACAATTAGAAGCACTTGGATAATAGTCATAAGAATGGGTAAAGAAATTAACTATTTTTCTATTTTATAACTTGTTATAAACAAGCAAAAGTTAAACTTTTAGTATTAACTAGAGTTTACTATTTTGATATGAGACTTGTGCTTAGTTTTAATTTTAGCAAATTATATCTAATATTATTGTTAACCATCATTGGTGTTGGTATTTGTTTATTCTCTACATATATACATATTACATTTTTCAGCAGACACAACTGTGCTTGGTCCACAGATAAAAAACATTTTATTGTATTGATATTCATAGGATAGAGAGAGAATCATTAAACCTTTCTCGGATAAATTTTTACCAATATATCTTTGGGATTATACAGAAGCGTCATGTTATTGTAACAATGAAGAACTTGCTACCTAATGAGATAGGTAAAAATTGCATATAATCATATTTTTGCAAGCTTTCTGTCCTGGATTCATTCAAGGTGATCTGTAAATTTTGCCTTTGATAAGTAAGCTTTGTTGAAAGATTTTTTATTACCAGTCCCAGATGTGTTTTTACCATAGTTAAAAGAAGAGTAGATGATTTTTACAATAAGTTTTTTTTTAAATATAAATTTAATTTACATTTTTGTTGGGATGTATATAGGCAGCTGTAAAAACATAAGCATTTAGTTACATGTAAATAGATAAAAGGTTACACAATATAATTTTTATGATACATTATTAATGATGGTGCCTAACGATATCTATAACAAAATAACATATTAAAAATAAAATATCTTGAATTATTTTAGTCTTAAAATATATTCATTAAATATAAAATATGTACATAAAAATATTTGTTGTATATTCAATAATACAGGAGATTCATTCAAATATATAATGTAGACACATTAGTCGCATGACTAAACTTAGTTCATAGTCACTTTCAAGTCTTACTAATTAATATACACCACATTGAAGTATTTTGGACAATCAGATCAGTATTGAGATCTTTAGGTGATAAATCAATGAATATTTACAATAAGTACCAATGCCATTTTATTATTTCCTATAATTTATGAGTATTATTCGCCTTTGAGCCTTTTACTGAATATTGCTTGTTGTTTTTCCCTCCATTCTTTCTTCGGTTTCATTCTTTTAAGCTGACCATCCCAAACCAAATCAACCAATCCTCCTTGTTTGGCTATCACTGCTTTCACACGATTTGCAAAGTCTATTGAACTCTCTTTTTCTTCTCTAAACATTGGAGGTAAGTACCAAACATCACATACAATCGCCCATGAAGACATCATCATGTATAGATAATGCATCATTGAATACTTTGAACTGTTCCAAAAGCATCTCCAAACTTTGGATCATATTTGATGGCTACAGGATAAATTACTCCTCCCACTTCAAATGAGCCTTTTTTAAACTGCATTACCGAAGTATTATTGATACATGTTCCTTCTGGAAATATTAATATTGGTGGATTATTTGGATCAGAGATATGCTGCCGAAGTCTGTTAGTGACGGCAGTTCGATCTTTGACTTCAGAGCGTTCGAACCAAATGTGAGGTGATGCCCTAGCCAGTGCCCTTTGCAGTATACCTAGGAAACCATCATGTCTCTGCCCAATTAGAGAATAGCAATTATCACACATGAGAACAAGAGCATCTATTGGACTTGTATGATTTGCTACACAAATGCCATTTTTGGGTTTATTTTCAATGTTATGATATGTAACAACTGCTGACAGAGCTCCCGAAAGAACACCAAAACACATTATTGATACATGATGCACTAACCACCGTTTGAGAGGTCCTTCTGGAAAATATCCTACAATTGCCGTGCATATTGTCAACCACATAACTCCGAAGAAACATATTAAAATTCTTATTGGAAGCAAGAAACAATAACGCATAAAAAAACCTATTATCCAAATAAAAGTGAGTCTCCAAGATATGAATTCATATTGACGGTTTGTTCTGGTCAGGAGGTTCCAATTTTTGAGCTCTTCGGTTTCAAAACGCGAGGTAACTTGATCCTCAATTATGCACTCAATGCCTGATTTTATGTAGTCTAGGCAATTGGATAAATTGAAGTCAAATACTTCTGAAGCTTCTTCAACCTCTACTGTATCTTTGACTTCTTTTTCATCATGTGAACTTAGATTATCCTCCTCAGTGTCGGGTACTAACATAAAATCCCGACTGATAAAAGTATTCCCATTGGCAAGTTGACCATTCTCTTGCTTATTATTCTGATCACAACCTACTGCGGATTCTGTGCACTCACTAATATCTAAATCTACGTGCTGGGCCCTGTATTCCTCCCGATTTTGTTTGCGGGCCGTTTCGATGTTAAGTCTTCCATATTCAAATATTTTTAATAAGACACTGATATATAATCTTCGGACTCCGAGAGATTTTCCAATAGATGCTAGGAACAATATAGATAAGATAAACATTAGAAACGGTGGTAAAACGATTGATACAGCAACTGACAGCGCAGTGCCAAACAACGCCATATTTCTAATGGAACATAACCAAGGTCTTATAACTAATTAAAATGATTCAATGCCAAAATGTTACTTAACATTACTCAAATAAGAATATTATTTTGCTATTTATGATTATCGATTTTGAACGAATATTAAGTCGGGTATTTTAAACCAGATCAAATGCCGTAGAGTTATTTCTATCGCAAAAATTCGTTTCATTTCTCTTCCACTGGTATTATAGACAGAACACTGGTAATAAAATTACTCAAACGTTCTGTTCTAAGAGACTTTACATGGTTTTGACACTACAAAGCAAAAAGTACATATTATTAAATATAGTCTTTCATATTGTACTAAGTTAAAGGTAAATTTCTTAAATTTATTCCATTATATAATATTTTTAATATTATTTCAATAATATTTAGTATTTAATATCATTATTTTCTCTTGAGTGTTTCAATGTGCATTATTTTGAAAGAGCTTGAATTACCAGCATTGTACCATAGCAGTGGCGTAAATAATTATTTTATCACTAGTGTTCGCATTATACGTTAAAACTATTTTTATGGTGATGGTCATAACAAAAACAGGACCTCAACGTACCTCTTACTATGACGTTCTGTTAATGTCAAATATCATGGAAAATACACAATTGGTTATTAACTTTAACCTTGTTTAAAATCATAAAAACTTGCAGAATAAATTATATGCTATTTGGGATTTCCAATAAAATTATTTTGTTTTATCTAATTTTTTTTATTATTACCTATAAACTTTTAGTTGAAACTTATACAAATTATCAACATGCATAACCAAGAGGAGGATAAAAAATTAGACTGGATGTATAAGGTAAATTATGATTATAAATCCCTTTACAAAAAATGACAAATGTTAATGTTATTAAATAAACTCCGTCAATTTGTTTATCTTAGAAACCTGGTCAATCGATTAATCATGAGGATTACCTTTTGGGAAAAACTATTGACAAAGAATTTGAAGCTTTGGCTCAAGAAGAACGAAACAAAAACCAAGAAGAACAAGGTCTTGCACCAAAAAATCACGTAGAACATGAATGTGTGCCATTTTCTATTAGATCATATAAGAATGCCCCACAAGATCAGGTGCCTTTTAAATCATTAAATCAATGTTCATAGTTTATAATATATATTTATATCTTATAACTTTTTATGTTTATTAGGTAGATATGGCCAGAAAGCTTCAAGAAGATCCCCTAGTAGCAATTAAAAGAAAAGAAATGGAAAGTAGGCAGCAGTTATTACAAAATCCCGTTAAATTAAAAGAGCTTCACAGAATACTGAAAGAAGAAAAAGTATGTTTCCATATTTGTTAATTGCTCAATCTAATTGTTATTATTTATCCCATAATAATATCATATGTTTATTCTATTTTTAGATGAAAAAATTAAGCAAGAAAAAAAAGAAAAAGGATTCAAAACCTAAAAAATCAAAAAAAGATAAATCAGAAAAACATGTTGAAAAGGATCTTGATGATATATTAGCTGAAAAGTATGCTAAATTAAAAGCTACTCTTGATGAAACTTTAGATATGGGCTCATTATTAAAAAATAAGCAAAAAGATTCTGGTGAATCTCAGGACTCTGAAGACAGTGATCATCCGTCTCCAAGAAAATTATTAAAATCAGACAGTAGATCACATCGAAATACATCGCCAATGTCTAAAATTCAAAAGGGATATAAAAATCGCAATAATATTGAAAATTCTGCTTATAAATCCCATTCAGAAAATTACAAAAGAAGTAATAATTATGATGAAAGGGATAATAGCAGAAGCATGTATAGAAGTAGGACAAATTGTAGTACAGATTATAGAAACTCAAGCAAGGAAAAGAATGATAGAAATTATAGAAACAGATCACCTGATTTTCATAAAAAGAATGATAGAAATTATAGAAACAGATCACCTGATTTTCATAAATCTGATAAAAGAAACAGTAGGCAACAAAATTATGATTCATGCTCAGATGATGATAAAAATGATAAAAAAGGTTTTGAAAGAAATAATAGGAAAGATAATCATAAAGATTATAGTCGCAAAAACAGTTCAGATATAGAAAGTAATGATAAAAGTTATAAAAATAAAAATTCTCATACTTCTAATCATAATATGAATGACAGTAATGACAAATATAAGAACGAATCTAATTATGATTCAGATGATGAAAGAATGAGAAAAAGTCAATTGAGATCCAATTATGGGTTGGTAACAGCTGATGGGAAAAAACTGGAATTGAAAAAGACTGACAATGACAGTAAAAACTCAAAACATTCAAATCCTAAAACAGTTACTAAAAAACATAATACGAGTCATAAAAGACCTAGATTGACTGATGAAGAAATTGAAGCCAGGCGGAAAGAAATGTTGGAAAATGCCCAATGGAGAGATAAACAATTAGAGAGGAATATTAAAAAATATCAAGAAGAAGATAAAAGAGAACAGGATAAAAATAGTTCTGATTTTGATACAGAATTTTTGAAAAAACAAATGGCGAGAGCTACTGAGAAAGATACTTTAGAACGTAGAATAAAATCAAACATAAATAATATACAAAGAAGTGGGAGATCAATGGATATGAATTTTGCAAGAAGATAAACTTGGACCTAGATGTAAGAACTTAATTAGTCAATTGTATTTTAATTTTATAATAAAACATAGTTTGAAAATCAAATATCAAATTTTTATGTTAGCATATTTTTTAAAACAAAATTTATGATATTAATGGTTATTGAAAAGAAGAATTAATGGTTAAAGAAAGAATTCAAATTTTCTATAAGTGGCATAACATTTATGTCTACTATTACTATGTTTTTTGTAATAATCAATGAGATTTACAAGGAAAATTTTCAACATAATTCTTATATTTAGTTTTGTACCAAATCACAATATGCACAATTAATTTGTGTAACATATGATTTAAATTTAAAATACAATTGTCACAAGCTTATCACATCTAGACGAAAAATAAAGTTTGAAGATTTTGGTTAAATACCGGCAAAATTTCTAAAATTTTCGTGCGCATGTTCCGAGAAAAATGCGATTTTGTCCTTATAAAAAGAAGGAGTGCGTTTTGAACTAGTTCAATTGCAAAACTGTTATTCACAATTTATGAAAATAACAGCCAGTATAATAATATAACATATTTTACTCCTTTGGTTGATCAAAAAGTGATTGGTTAAACAAAAATTTATAACAATTTCTTCTGGAAATAAAAATTGAAAACAATTTGTTCTGGAAATAAAAATATACGTATTGCAGTACAGGTAGTGAAATCATACATAATAATCATAAAATATAAACAATTTTTAAATCTTTAAGTTTCTAATATTTTGTGCATTTTAATAATTTTTTGTTGTTTTTATAGGAAGGCTTATTCTCAAATATGCGGACGTCGGTAGTAATGACTTTTGTATTAACATGTGAGTATCAAAAATTTATCAATTTATAAATTTATCTAAGTATATTATAATTGAAAATGTACTTTTTTATAGTAGAAATTTTTTATATGATTTCCACACATGTGTTATAGCAGTGTTAAGAAAAACATCTTATTCATATATTATTATAAATTCATCTACACATTTCTTTAAATATATCTCTATTTCTTCCATATTCAAAAAATGCACATTTTTTATTATCTTGGTCTGAAATAAAATCTAATTATTGCGAAATGTTAAAAGAATTCAGAGTCCCGCCAAGCGCAAATCGAGTCAAGTCATGAATCTTTTTGTTTCTATTATCTTCAATCAATTTCTATATACTTTTTTCTGTATAATATTTCATTTATTTTTTCTGGGATAAAGTTTTACTTTTATATTTCTCTTAATTCAACCCGACAAATTCGATAAAAAATGCATTTTATCCAATTTTGCCATTACTTGTATCAGCTATCGGAGAAATAATAGATACGATATCAGGCGTTTCATTGATGGTTTTGTATATAATATTTTATTTGCATTTTGATAAAACATTTTATTTGAAAACATTTAAGTTTTTCGACAAATTATGAAGTATGTAGAATTAATCCTATATGTAATAATTTGATTTTTAGTTTGAAATCTTATATATGAGTATTTTCAATTGCAAATCTTATATAAGATTAATTCTAGTCGAAATGGATGTTAGGCATGTATTGTTTTTGTATCGAATTGTATATTACTTCTTTGTAAAATAATATTTTAAACTGTATAAAAATATTATGTCTTATGTGCCAATCATGAAAGTTAAAATAAGTTTCCATCAAATTTTATACGTGCCATGATTACTTAAAATTCAAAATAATTTCAAAGAAATTTGCAAAGGGTTATTTGCATAGTATAGTTGAATTGACTTTTTTCTTTGATATGCAAAGTGCTCATGTCGCTTTCACGAATTACATTTAAGTTTTGCTTTGCACGCATATTATCGATTGCTTATGATTGGTTTTTGATTATTTTTTAACTTCCCGAAAGAAAAAGTTTGATTTCGACAGAAAATCTGATAATTTGCTAATTTTATTTCTCGGCGTTTCAAGTCATACTAAATAGTTTGAGAACAAAATTGGAAAAAATATATCTGTGTAAGCCAAAATTTGACCATTTGTCGACGTTTTATCAAAAACGGTTGAACCGATTTTAAAAATTTTGAATTCATTCGAAATCATCTATCCATGTAAATCTCGATAAGGACTCGGTTTGATTAGTTTTGCGTAAAATTTGTCAAATTTGCACAAAATTGAATAATTTGCAATAGTTCCTGATTGGAACCAGTGAAGAGTGTTCCAATAAAAAATGAGGGTGCGCGACATTATTTTTAAGAAAACCAGGAGGGATTCTACAACCAATATCGGTATGCTGGACATGCTTATTAGAAATTAATTATCAAGGGTTTACTTGGAATTTTTGAAAAATCAATTTTTGTTTTTTTGCATTTTTTTAAGTGTAATATCTTGAAAATGTTCTCTGAAAATTTCAAGTTGATCCGATGATTACTTTTTGAGTTATTGGACTCTTGCCAGCGCGTTGACGCAAGTGGAGAGCTCGATACTTATACTCAAGATTATTTTCCCTCACCTCCTGATGATTTAAAAACTTTCAAACCGATTTACGACGATATCAGCAATGATAATTTACTTTCAAGATGTGGAGTTCAAGATTGAATCCATAATCAGAAAAATTAAAAGCTTCAACCAACTAGTGTAAAAAATATGCCTAAAAACCGTGAATACTAGTTCTACTATCGTACAAATTGCTCAATACATACACATAATCATTATTATTGATTATGGATACCCTAGGACCTAATTGTGGGTATAATTCCCATTGGTATGCTAAAAAATTGGATGCTGCAGGTGTGAAGTGGGAGGCTAAAATGCTTCGTAGGCAACAGCAAATAGAAATTTTGGAAACTTTCACAATAACTGATGAACTATTATATGGCCCAGAAATAGATGACTTGATTTAAGTAATTCAATATTTCGTATTTCTGTACGTAAATCCAATGTGAAACTTCAAACGCGTTTTTCTCAAAACTATGTTTTTGAACTTGTGACAACTTTAACTCAAAAACCGCTTAGTAGATTTTAATGAAATTTAATATCTAATAAATATAATAAACTGAAAATGCACTTAGCAAACACGACACCCTAAAATATATGAGCGAACGATATATTTAAAACTCTACTTCAAGACTTCCGTATTGATGATGTTATTATAATATGAATATGTTTTATTGAATTTATTACTAGGTGGAATATTATGGGGCGCCTGCATTTGGGGCGTAGCTCTGTCCTGCGATTCTTGTGGGAATGAATGCGCTGCCGCTTGCGGGACAAGGCATTTCCGAACTTGTTGTTTCAACTATTTGCGTAAAAGAACGGACAATTCAATTTCGGAGTATGGCCCAGGTATTGTACTCACTTTACATATAAATTTGGCGATGATAAAATTCATAATTGATAATTTCTGATTATGTTTTTTAAAACCTCCCATGCCATTATAATTTTAGGCCTAAAGTTAGAACTCTGGAGATCCAGTCCAAAAGAATCGGTTTCTTTGCGATTTCTAAAGGAATTGAATGCAATGCGAGGATTAATCAGAGAACATAACACTTGGTCGCATAATAATTCGGTAGATCCAGATCTAAAATTACAGTTAATTTATTGAAAATAAAATTCTTGACATGAACTGGAAAAACATTTTTCGACCAAACCCATCACCCTGACTTTCCATGATAGCGTTTTTATGAACATAAAGCGATTATAACATTTTGCAATAAAATCTGTCCTGAATATTAAATGTATATATATATATATATATATATATAATTATGTATATTATGCATTGTTGTTTTAATGTATTCTTTGTTCATTCTAGTCGATAAAAAAACATTGTTTTATTTAAAGTTTTAATTTTATAATTATCATTTTGCGATTTTTATTCAAACATATGTTATGCAATATAATGATGAGATATGTAGTTTATTAATGTATTAAACTTAATTATTTAAACAAATAAAATGTCATTTTAAATTATCAAAAGCAGAATGATTATAGCTATATATAGCTATAAGTTATGTTTACTTATCTATGGCTATAACTTCAAAATAATTTCGATTGAAGTAGAATAAATACAAAGCATGTATATATCTGAATGCAATTTAAATTCAAATATATCATTATATAACCAAGCTTCAAAATGTATATTATTCGATTTATTACATAATTTATTAACAATTTATTTTTTTCCTTACTATTTGAAATTTAACGAACAACAAGTGTTTCCATCTTGAAATTTGATTTTTATAATCGGCGAGGGTGGTAGCACTGTTCATCGCAAGAAGTTCGCGGATATAAATGTCAATGACGTTTATAGTTAAAATAAAAATTGTAATGTCAAAGAATATGCAAGAAAAATAATTTCATCAGTATGATTCTTAGTAATTGAATTGATTTTTACGACTGTTCATAACGAATAGGAAGATATGTTAATTTTTAAGATTTTCTATGGCCGGGTTTCTTTAATATGTTTGAAATGAAAAAGTATAATTTAAACAAAAGTGTTTAAATTAAATGTTCTGAACAGCTATGAGACTTCTCAGATTATTATTATATATTTAAATATGAAAAAATTATCAGGATCTTTTAGAAATACCCAATGGGATCCTTTTCTACTTATATTTCAAATTTTGGCAATGCAAACAAGTGGTTATTTTAGTTTAGGAGTAATTATGGCCCTAATGGATAGTTTGGCAGGCTCCAATCACACCTTGGATCATATATTTCAATATCACGTAATATAAACATACAACTATCATATCCTTTATTATAATTTTATTTTTATTGATTTGAATTTTCAGGAAATCCATGTAGCTGATTTTGGGGGCAAGTTAGTAATATCAGCATTTGTGCTGAATGCTTTATGTGGTGCTGGTTTATTGTGGTTTGTGGTAAAAAGGACAAAACTATGCCTTGATTTCAGGTATAATTTTTATATTATGTTCTATATTTGTCATCTGCAATTAGTATTAATTTTACAGTTGTACGTGGTTCATTATTCATTTGCTTATTTGCTGGTGTTATAATAGTGGTTTTCCATGGAGTATTTCATGGTGGCTACTACACGCAGTTTGTGTTGCTTTGATGTGCGTGTCTGGAGAATTTCTTTGTTTGAGAACAGAGTTAAATGATATACCTCTTGGACTATCTGCAAAAGCAGATTTGTGAAACCAAAGAGTAAATTGTACATAATATGTTAAAAAAAAACAATTATGTTTGACTTTAATTTATAGATTGATTTGAATATATTTTTTACTAAAATTGTATCTTATTAATGAAACAATAAATTCAAATGATTTTTTATAAAGTTTTGAGTATTTTGTGCAGTATTTACAACAGCATTATAATTACAATTACAATAGCAAGTAATTACAATTGCATCATACTTATATTTTAGAAACAAGATTTTAGCATATATTTAAATTAGGTCTTTCTGTAGCCTTTTGTTCAGTTGTTCAGAAGTGGTTGTACTCTCATTTTTGCTATTTGGGAGTATGTCATTTGAATACATAGGTATATCCTAATCCATGCAATTAACTTACGAATTTGAATATAAAATAGACAGTATCAAAAATAATTGGGACAAAATTTCAGATTGAGGCTAACACCCCACACTAGGAATTTTGTTGAAGCGGTATGTACATACTCCTATTATAAAAAACTGATTTGATAAAGATTATGTGTTAAATTTTTGTATTTGGAAAATTATATAAATCTATTGCTTTGTAGGTACTGATTGGTTTCAGCGCAAATGGTTTTATTTCATTTACATGTACTGAAATTTAGGAGTTTCAATAAATTAGAACCTGTGGATGCAGTGTTACATGTCCGAGGTAAGTTTGTGGAGAAAACATATAATTTTTTTATAATTTATCTATCAGTTATAATTATGTTTATATGTATACATATGTACATATACATAAATCAGTTATATGACATGTCAAATTTTTGTGCTCCAACAATTTTTGATATTTTTCTATCTTTATATTATCAGTGAAGATAAGTTTTTTAAGCTCTTTATTACTATATATCTTGGAAGTAAATGTAACGCATATCAGTAGCAGTTCATAAAACCTCAATTTTAATTTTTATTATCAAATATTACTTTATAAATATAAATTAAAAGGCTGAAAACTATAATATGTAACCTAACCAAGCACAATTTATAACTGACAGTGTTGTGATAAGAGAAAGCTTGACAGCCATTTGACAGCTGTTTGTATTTACTTTTCTTGAAAAACGAAACGTTGAAAGAAATATACAAATTGAAAAATATATAAAAGTAGTCATGTCTTGGTTTGAAAATCCTGGTCAAGAAATATTTGAAAAACTTGACTTAACTGAACTAAAAGTTGATGAGGCTTATCTGAATATTACTTCAAAACTTGGCAGAAAAGTTGATGTAGAGCATCTTTCAGAAGATTGTTATAATGTAATATTTATTATTCAATGATCTTTTATCACTCACTAAAAAAATGTTTATAATTACCGTAATTTATTTTTTAGTGTCCATTTACCAATTTAACATCCTTAGCTGCTAATGGAAATATTCTGGTCAAAATAAATACTTTTAGGAAACAGCAATTTCAAGCCAAGCGAGACGAGTAAGAGCATTGCCTAAAATCTCTCTAACTCTAAAATAACAACGTACAAGTTTTTTGAATTAAAACTTCATAATCAATCAGTATATTTAAAAAAACACAGATGAATCAAATCGTTTGGTTGAACTTACTGTTCTGAAATAAATCTTTCACCTGTATTTTTTAGAGCAATCATATGCAGAGTATCGCCTGATGTAGGTGAATTTGGAGTATACAATTTGTTAATTGCAGAAGATAAATGTTTATTTACAACAGCTAAAGAAGCAGTTAATATTTATTACCGTAAGCATTTCAAAACTTGTCAATTATTTAATTATTTCAATCTTTCATAGTATATAATGTACTTTTATTTTCGTTCAAGCACTGATTGTAATTTTATTTTCACTTGTGATTTTATTGACCCTAATTAATTTGTCTGGAATATTATGGAAAAAATATCGAAGAAATGTTCCTCAATTGGATGGTGGAGTAGAAAAAGAAAAAAAGCGAGTGAAATCTCTAGATACTTTCCGAGGGTAATTGTTTGGATAATTGACAAGTTCAATATTTGGGTATGAATTAATTCATTAAACTGTTTAATTTTGCAGAATAAGTATCGTGTTAATGATATTTGTTAATAGTGGTGGCGGTCATTATTGGTGGATAGAACACGCTACTTGGAATGGGCTTCATGTAGCAGATCTTGTTTTTCCATTCTTTTTATGGATAATGGGTGTTTGTATTCCAATTTCCATACTATCACAGCTACGAAAAAATACTCCTCGCAAAAACATTTTATTAAATATATTGCGTGTAAGTTTTTACCATTATGCAAATTGATGAATGAAATAATTTAATTGAATGAAATAATTTTTCACCAATTCTGTTAAAATTATTTGTAGCGTTTCTTGATCCTATTTTTCTTAGGAGTTATGCTTAACACTTCTGGAGGGCAGAATAATTTGACATTGATTCGAGTTATGGGGGTTCTACAAAGATTTGGAATATCTTACTTTGTAGTTGCTTCAGTAGCAGCTTTAATGTTCAAAAGGCATAGTAATGTTTATACAAGCAGGGTTTTAAATCTTATTCCTGATTTATATGTATTATTACCACAATGGCTAGTAATCTTTCCTATAGTATTAACATATTGCTGCCTTGTATATCTTTATGAAGTACCCAACTGCCCCAAGTAAGTAAAATGTAATAGGTTTTGAGAAATCACTTAGCACCTGCTTTAATATCTTATTTTATTGAAGGGGGTATTTAGGACCTGGTGGGATAGAAAGTAATGGCTCAAATTTCAATTGTGTTGGAGGTGCTGTGGGATATATTGATAGACAAATTTTAGGTCAGCATATGTATCAGCATCCCACATCTAACAAAGTCTATTTATCTGGACCATTTGATCCTGAAGGTTTATTAGGTATTTTTAATAGAAGGTGCATAAATATCATTATCATACATATACATAACAATATCAATATTATCTTTTCAGGATGTTTAACTTCTATATTGCAAGTTTTCTTGGGAGTGCATGCTGGTGTTATAATTGTTTTTCATAAGTTATGGAAGGATAGAATGTTACGCTGGATCATATGGGGTGTGGTCTCAGGATTAATTGGTGGTATTCTTTGTGGATTTTCTAAGGAAGAAGGCTTAATTCCAGTGAATAAAAACCTTTGGTAAGATATATATATATATATATATATATATATATATAATATGTAATATAAACAATACAATATGCATTCGATTTCAGGTCATTATCATTTGTGTTTATAACTGCCTGCTTTGCCTTTTTCCTGCTTTCTACTTGCTATCTTTTAATTGATGTCTTATTAATTTGGGGAGGAAACCCATTTCTAAAACCTGGAATGAATTCTACTATTATGTATGTCGGACATTCTATTGCTCATGCGCTTTTTCCATTTCATTGGAAAATAGGAAATATGAATACGCATTATATTTTGACAATAGAAGCTCTTTGGAACACGGGATTATGGGTCATCATTGCCTATATTTTATATAGGAAAAACATATTTTTATCCATATAAAAGCATTTTTTATAAATAAGTTTTATATTTTATCATTTGCTATTTGATTGTATTTGTTATTAAAATTTGTATATATAAAATGAACAAATGCAAATGTGTAAAAACACAAATAAATCTGATATTAAATAAATATTCAGTCTTTATTGCAATAATTATTTAGTTTAATTAATCACAATTGATATGTTAAAAGTGATAGTATTAGAATTTATTGGTGGAAATATATACCAATTTATTATGAAAAATAGTTTTTGCGTATTTAAATACATCTTTGATATAAGTTCCAAAAAATATAATAAACTTTTTAAATTGTGATTAATAATATAATTTGCGCACGTGTACATTTTTAATATTATAATTTGCACACGTGTATACTCTACTTTATCTTTGTGTAAATTCAAAACAATAACAATTTTGTTATTATTTCTAACCGGGTTTCACCCCCAATCATACAGGTGCGCCATCTGTACGAAGTTGTCAAAGATCGCCCATTCACTTTGTTTCTATGTTTATCATCTCATCTGAAGTTGTAAAGATTACAAATGGTAGTTCTATCATGTATCCTTTTGCAAGGGTAGTTTTGCAATATCATTTGCTCCTGGATTTTCACCGCAAGCTCACCTTTGTTTCTAAATTTAGCATTTTTCAAGTGCCATATAAAGCCTAAATGGATATTTGATGGAAAGAATTTCAGGCTAGGTTTTGATTTACTATTTCTACACAAATGTCATTTTAAGCATCATATCCTTAGAAGATATTCGTCAAGGATTATAGATAGCAAGGATAGCAATATCGTGAAGATGAACAGAGATGCATTAAAATTTCAAGAACTATGGGATTTTATAGCTAGGGATATTAATATAAATAAGAAGCCTTTACCTTGCAAGACAAACAGGAAAAACAATGTTATTTCTGACCAACAAAAATCTAAGAAAAAGAAAAGTCATAATATTATCAATAAAATAATGAATAGACAGGTAAATTTTATGGCATGTCTCATTTAATAGTAAAAGTATTTGTATATATAATATAGTTGACAATTATCATATTAATAATAATTTTCAAATTTATATCAGTTTACAATATTAGATTTATTTATACTATATTGCATGAACTGTTAATAATTATTTCTTTGTTGATATAGAGCCTAGAATCTTTTAGATTAATAGGTTAAATAACAAAATTATGTTAACATGTAATTTTTTTTTTCATATATTGTTTATATTTGTTTCTGTATTCACATTGGAGCATATGCATAAAACATTAAATATTTATATCATATCAAATCTTTAGCATAGACCCGTTTTAAAGCATTTTTTCATTTTAGATGTTTGGAGAATTTTCAGTGCACAGAGGAGTAAAGTATGAAGCGCCGTTCATGGAAATTCCTGATCACCTGAGGTTTTGTCTCAAAACAGAAATATTACCAACAGAAATATTAGAGTATGAAATTATTACATAATATTACTTTTTATAAAATAATTATATATTGTTTTAATTAAATTTTTATTCAAATTTTAGCAATCATGTTTATATGGGTTTAACAGCATGTGGTCAATTTTTATTAAGTTATACTGAAGTATGGACTCCTGCGGATAGTGAAGAAAATGTCTTTTTGACTGATAAATTAGAATACAGGTAAAATAAGAGAGAATTTTTAATTTTATTATTCATCGATTCATCTTATACATAAATGAATTGTTTAATCAGATTATTTTGTAAATAAGTTTTCCTCAATTATTTTTATAGTTGTATAGTTGTATTACTGTTTGTAATTGATTAAATTTCCACTAAATACATAGTATCAGACATCAAATCACGATTGAGAATATTAGTAAAATATTAATACTCAAAAAGGTTTATTTAATGAGAATATTAATTGTTTTATCTATTTTCAGGTTATATTTCTGGGGATTTAGGCCCCATAATCCTTGTTATATAGTTCATTCAGTTCCTTTATTTGCCTCTAATGCATTTGGTCATTATCAGCATGTTACAATGGTACAATGGAAATCTATGCCTTGGCTTCTTGTAGTTCACGGGTAAGACAATCATTATTTGTTGAATCATACTATAACCAATTGCAATAAATCATTTCTATTGTAGATATAATGACTGTGGTCGCCATGGTTGTATGACTAACTCCTGCGATAATGTTGGTCACATAACATGGGTTTCAGTACCTTCTGTAGGATGTTCTTCATGCAAAAAGGAATCCACATCCAATAAAGGTATTTTATCAATACATTTTTTTTTTATAATATTGGACTGTACATATTATTTTATAACAGTTTTACTTTATTAAGAAAGCTAATAAAAAGTCAACACACATTTTTAGAACAAAATAATAGATTGATCATGTTATTAAAGCATGTTTGGTTTTAAATAATTATAAATTTTAGGTCTTGAAGGTCGTTCTTTATGTACTAGACACAAAATTTTGGCGCATACTGAATATGATTGTGGGTCTTTTGAACCTATCTTTAAACCTCATGTGAATATGAGGCGTCCTGGTCAAATAGTTGTGAGCACAGGTGCACTCATGCATGTTTTGGATGTGCAATTATTGACTTGTCAATCTCTCACTATGGGAAAATCTAATGAAAGAACTTATTGTGAACAAAATTCAACTGCTGGCAGTTCTAAAGATGAGAATGAGTGTAGTGTTAGTGATTTATTGAATATATCTTTGGATGAAACTCTTCGAGGACCAGAGGAAACTATTAAACAAAGTGATAATGAAATCATCCCTAATGTTATAGAATCAAAGAATAATCAGAAAGCTGATAAAACTTATGAATTTGTTGAAGAGGTTGAGAATTGTGAAAAAATTGGAATATTTCGGAAACGTAGGTTGGCTGATAGGAGGTATGAATATCATGAGGATACACTTGGTGATTACTTTGGTTTAAAATGGAATAAGTACATGAAACTAGGGGCTAACACAAATAAAGTTCTGCATGAAACAACAAATTCTAATTATCAGCGATCTCAGACATTGAATATTTTAAATGATAGAGATGCTAAACAGAATAAAGATTTCAATGAGAAATTAAGTAATAGCTCAGATAGTAAGTCAAGTTTGGTTTTACCTGAATATATTGTAAATTCACCACCTTGTTTTAAAAGAAAATCATTGCTGGTCTTAGAAGATGAAGATTCTTACAAATGCTCGATTACACATATAAGATATTTTGTGGAAAATAAGGCAGATGTTTCTGAAAGACAAACTTCGGGTGAAGAAGATGAAATTTCTGGTAAATTTAAAGGTTTATGCATTGATTAGTAGTTCAATTTAAATAAATAATTCAGCATTTTTAAGAGTTTAAAATATTTTAATATTAGGTGTAACAACCTTAGTGGCTTAAATAAATAAATAAATATAAATATATATGATTTCATAAATGTTTGATAATTAGGTATTGGTTTTGAAAATATAGCAAGTCCAATTAATTACTTACACTACGTACTGTTTTAACTTTAGCCACTGTAGGTGAAAGTTTACCTGCCACTTTTCATGTATATTTGCCGCTCTCTCTCAATGATTTCCAAGCCGTATCACAAGAAGAATCCAATGACTTGATCAAGAAAGAACCTATTGTTGTTATCACTCAACAATCCTTTGATCTGGAGACTTTTAGTTACTTGGTTTCCTGCAAACTATGTGAGAAGGAAAAGAAATATTTTAAGTGCATTCAAGATTGGTACAGTGAAATTTTAAAGGTAATAATAATATTTGTATATGTATGGATTCATAATTTGAATACAAAACATTTATTTTTTTAATTGCACATTACGATTATATTATGTAATATTAAAAAGTATAACCACTTATAGGTTTCTCCAATTAGTGGCATCACATGCATATTATTACTACATGTAGTAGCTATTCCTGCTATATATAGGAGACCATTATCAGTATTGCGCTGTGATCAATGTATTGCTGGTGATTGTTTTACACACCGCAAACATTATGAAGCCTCTTGTTTATTTCAATGGGATCCTACAACAGGATATTATGCTGTCATTAGCCACACATCTTTAAGAATTTTGTGTCCTGATAAAGATAGCCCACAGATGTGGAGACCTAATAGGCGACAGGCTTCAAAGATTCTAGATAATGTGGTGCAAGATAATATTGGTAAGTTGTTTCATTTTGTGAATTGTGAATGTTTTTGAAATGGTAATGAAGTTAAAATTTGTAGTAATGGTTTCATTTTTTATTTTTAGGTTGGAACATGCGAGTACAATACACTTTAAATACTGAAATTTCTTTAGAGAGCATTACGGATTGGGATCATTTTATTCAATTGAATCGGGGCCATGTCTCTGATGATGAGATTTATGATGTCTATGATGAATAATTTTTTCAAACTTTTCTCAAAATTTTGATTATGCATCCATATTTATATGTGTATCTATATATACATAATGGTATGTATTTTAGAATGTTTATTTCAAACATAACATTATGTTTGAGCTTTATTAATATTGTGATTCACATATTATTATTATTATTTAATATGAAAGCAAAAATTTTTAAGTTTGATATAGAAATTTTGCTTAAATAAAATTATGACGATAGAAATATTTATTTCCGAACATTAGTGTTTCTATACTCCTTTAGCTTGAAGCAGCAATACGATATATAAAACATATATTTTTATAATTATTAGTTCCATATACAAAGTTCAAAGAAAGGATTTAATATTAGCATTATAATGAATTCAAAATCTTATTTTATATTGTATGTATTGACAAATTTTGTTTTCGATTGAATGATTTTTAATTTGAAAAAAATATTACTTATACTTACATTTTTTTAAGTAAATAAACAATGTTTTTTTCTTGATGAAATAAGATTGATTTGTGAATGAGAAATTTTGACAACGCTAGTTTAATGTATTTTTACTTCCAAGTGAAAGTTGTGTGCATATTGCCTCATAGATATAATGTGTAGCTATTTATAAAATATAGGTATAATTTTTTAATATAAGACTCAAACTTTTTTTAAGTATATATATAATATACATTTGTAAAATGTGTTCATTAAAATATCTAATATACAAGAAAGTTTTTTTTATCTTTTACATATGACCAGTACAATTATGTGGGGTGATAGATACTTGTTTATTTAAACATTTTTTACAACAATCACCAAGATCAAAATACATTATTTTACATACATTCATGAAGATCAGAATTACTATGCTGTAAATTAAAAGCTAAAATATTATGCTGTTTATATCAAATTATGTCATTTCTGAATCTTCTAGCTGCGAGAGTTGATATCGGGCATATATTAGAACTGCGACGAATATTAAATATACTGCTAAAAGTGTAAATAAATAGCATAGCAAACAGTACTTAAGGAAACGGGGCATTTCCAAATCAATCCTAAAAGAAAAAAAAAATTGATGCGTTATTATTACAAATAAATATAACAATTATCCATAATATTATGTTTAATATTATTTATATAATTATTAATATTATTATAATTATAATATAATAATTATAATTATAGTTTTAATGTAGTGAATACAACTACAGTTGTATTTAAGTATTATGTATATTTTTTTATACTTTTGTAGTGAAGGAACAATTTTTTCTTAAAATGAATCAATCAAAATCATTACATTACATTAAAAAAAAATATTCAAAATAAAATAATGTAATTAGTACCCGTATATCTAGGAAGCATTCTTGAACTTCATATTTTAGTTCTCAAATAAATTTATATAGTTTTAAATGCATTTTATGAATTGAAATTAGTAAAATAAAAAAAGCATATATGACAGTCATAAAAAATTTTAATGTAAAACAAAATCTTTTGCTTAAATAGTAGTCTGTGATGTATATACGGCGAGTATAATCTTGTTCTTTCATAAATATAAGTTTTTTCATAATTTTATATATCTTCATTGAAAATTTGTATTTTTGAAAAGTTGCGGCAGAACCCTAGAGTTGTCATATATATTTTATCGTATAAAATTTATATTTGGGTTTTTATATTTATGCTATATAATTTCATTTGTTTATTCGCGTCTGCGCAATATTATTGATTTTTGCTTTATTTAGCACGTGTACAGAATATTGCAGCAAAGAAAATATTGTATGCATTTAAAAACTTCAGCTTTCTCTTATTATTATAGGGCTATATTAATATTATTAATAAATCAATGAATAGTTAAAAAAACTTCTGATAAAAGTGTTACAACCACGAACTAATTGTGCGCTCAAAATTCTGTGAACTTCTGAATTGATTAACTGAAAATACCAATAAAAATACAATCACAAACTTTAAATTTTAAAATCACACAAACTGGGATTAGTGAACCTACTAAAACATAATTTGCTTTATCTAGGTAAGCAGTATATTAATAAATTTTTATTTAAAATGTAAACATAAACATTAACTCATTTTAAGATTATAATACTCATATCAGCGGTTGTTTATGGTATACAAATTTAATAGGTGGCGGAGTCCTCCGTTCATCTAATATTAATTATTAGCAGCAAGTTTTATTCAGACGCAAAGACGTTGTGCAGCAAGGTCCACCCAAGCCCGGGCGCCGCGCGGAGCGTCTGGGCTCTGCCCTGGCACGGCCATAGTATGGCAGAACAGCACGAAAATGAAAATGAAAACAATAACGACAACGATAGCTCGGAAAATTAATATCATGTTCAGAAAGCACCGAAATGTTGATCCAGGAAAGTGCAAGAGATCTTTTCGATATCGTAAAATCTGGGTATGTAATTAATAACATCTAAAAATGTCTAATAATTAAATGTTCGCTTCCATTCCAGAGATTTACCGGGTTTGGAAAATCTTCTAGAGCGATTAGATCCTGATGTTTTATCTGCCAGAGACATGCATGGTTATACTGCAGCGCACTGGGCAGCCCTGGACGGGCACGTGAGTCTGGTTCGGTGTCTAGTCCGACACAGTGCACCTGTCGATCTTTCTTGCTTGGGAACCCAAGGACCCAGACCTATTCATTGGGCTTGCAGAAAGGGTCATGTGGCAGTAGCGCAAGTTTTACTTCAAGCGGGAGTTAGTGTAAATGCGGCGGATTTTAAAGGTAAAGGTTGAACTTGATCCTACCTATATCACATAATATTTTTGAAAATTCAATGTTTTTGATTTACAATTACTTATTGATCTATAATATGCTTGTTAATTTTTGTTTAAAAACGAGAGCCTATTCGTCAGTGCCACTGCTGTGAAAAATAATTATAAATTTATGTTTATTATATTTAAGGTTTGACCCCTTTAATGACTGCTTGCATGTATGGCAGAACTGCGACGGCAGCTTTTTTATTGGGAATGGGAGCCCTAAATCATTAACAGACATAAAACGGTGATACTGCTCTTCATTGGGCTGCTTACAAAGGTATACTATTTTTCTTATCTACTGCTTTAAGGGGGTCTTCCTATGTGACGGCCTGTTTTTTAGGGATATTTTAGGATTTATGACCAGTAAATATTTAGAGCTTCAAGTTTTTTATCATTTATTAACACATATTTGGACAGTATAAATATAAAATTTCAGCTAAAATATTCAGTCAAACTAGAGTTACAGCGCTCTGAACACCCCCGCCTCGAAAAAAAGAGCTCCCACTTCTTCACGATTTCGGCTGATCGGCC